GTTCACCTGTGGACAGGGGATGTGGGGCCAGTGGGGGGAGGACCTGCTGGCAACACAGCGCTGGCCTGAGACTTCGGGCATGCTCTCCCCGCCACTCCACATCACCTGGAGGAGGGATCAGTGCTGGAGAGGACATAGCTACACCAGCACCCCAGCTCAGGGCTTCCTCAGGAGACTGACCCCACCAAGGTCAGAAGCCTTGTCCACCGTGTTCACACAGTGCTGGGGCCCAGGCCCACACCCACCCTCAGCATGGCCCATCCAGCCCTCTCCCACACCTCCTGCTCCTTGCAGCCCCAGGCCCAGCCCCAGGGTGGGGGGTAGAACACACTGCTGATGCCTACCCAGCCCCCACCTCACACCCATCATAGCTCACTGGGATTCCCAGCCAGCCAGCCCTCCGACTGGTCACAGGTTACCTGGAGTTCAGATTCCAGATGGAAGTCAAGTGCCACTAGGAGTGGACCAGAGACTGACTGTGCTCCCTCCCCCTGGAGAGCCCTGATGACCCCTCACCTGCTGTGGATGCAGGAGGCACCCTCTCCCCTTGGCACCCAGTCCGCCTCTTCACAGAAAAGCGCTGAGCAGCAGCAGGAGGGTCTCTCTTGGGCCTTGGGGCTGGGGCAGCAGGGCCGGGCTGCAGCTCCTGGGCCGAGTCAGCCCTTCCTCCCCAGGGGCTGGGGATAGGCCAGGGCTCCAGGAACGGGTGGCAGTTGGGGGGTGGTGCAGCTGCTCTGTGTCATCATGAGAACACACTCAGCCCACCGTTGTCAGGGGGATGCCCTCCACACATAGGTGTGAGCAAGGCCAAGAGCAGATGGCTCTAGACCGGGATGGTCTCAGGGTCCAAGAAGGCTGGGGCACTCCTAGAACATGCCCTGAGGACTGCTCAGCACAAGCTGTCATGTGGAACTTGCTTGTGTTGAAAAAAATATTCATCAGGGTAACTGTAGCCGCCCTGCAATGAGCACCTGGCCAGCCCTGGAGGAAGCTCCCAAAGCCACTGAGCTGCTGAGTGCCTGTCCCACTGCTGCCCAGGGCTAGCGGCAGGCACTCTGGCACCGTCTGCAATGGCATCACCACCCTGGACACCAGGCAGAGAGAAAACACTGGTGCGGGCCACCCACTCTACACACCTGCTGCAGGGACCAGGCCTGAGGCTCCGTATTCACTCGGAAGGGACCCAGCTGGCCATTCAACTTGGGGCATCATCTGGCAGATGAGAGCTACTCTTCTGGCCTCATCTATCTTAAGGCCATAATTTTTATTTTAAGCATGAGTGCTTTTTTGAAACCCAACAGCTTAAGTATCAGCAAAACTGGATCAGAATTTCCCTGGGCGCCAGTGTCTGGCTTAGGAACACGCTCCCATGTTAAACAGACACCATTTTCAAATACCACTTGAGACCACAGCTGAAAACCAGGATGAAATGAGATGGGGCCAGACAGGCAAGTTTGTGTCCAGGCAGGTACAGGGCCAGGGAAGGTGACCAGGGACTGTGAGCAAGGTGGGCAGGCGGGACATGCTGACGGTGGGAGCCCGAAGGAGCCTGGGCTTCAGGTGCAGAGAGCATCTCCAGGGCAAGGGCCAGGAGCTGGGCAGCCACCCCTCCACACCCCCCTCCCCGAGCACAGCACGAGAAGGTGGTAAGAGTCTGAGAGACCACAAGAATAAGGTTCTGGAAAAGCCTAGGGGCCTTGGAACAGGACGGAACTGCTGTGTCCACTAACCTCGAACCCAGGATGGAGTCCTGGAGGCTGTGGGATTTACAGTCTTAGAAATCACCTTTATTTTTATCTTTTAGCCCAAGATAACAAAAAGTACACAGTGGAGAAGTGAGTGTAAACATAAATCTAAGGCCTAAAAAACAATGAAACTGAGAAGATGAAAATGAATTGTTAAAAAAAATCTAAACCCCAAAGGTAATTAAATTACAAAAGATCCACAAGATAAACTGGGCAAGTCTGCTAGATACAGCTAAACAGGCAGCCTCCAGCTCTGAAGACAAGCTGAAATCTGGGAATGTGTTATAGTTACACTAGCACTTCAGCTCACCATTTGGGGAGCAAAGTGGTCACACATATTAGAAATCACATTAACTGTATTTATAGCCACACATTTCTGTGCTAAAACACGTTGTTTTTTAATTCACAAAGCAATTACTTGAAACATATATATAGAGATGACCCTCTAAGGAGCCCCAAGGACCCCACCTGCCTCTCCTTTCTGAGCAGCCCCTCCCATGACTGGGCCCATGGACCCTGTTCATCAGGTCGCAAGCAGGCCACCCTAACATTTAGAGGAAAACCATTTCTCTCTTCCCCAAAGGTGGCCAGCAGGCTGACGCTAAGCCCCAGAGTCCACACAGCCGATGCTGGGAGCTAGGGAGGAAGTGCAGTTGTGGAAACTGGCTCTGGCAGGAAACGAAAACCTGGATGCCTCCACCAACTTAATCCCAGAGCCACATTAAAGCCCCACGTGGAACACCAAGTTGGCAGTGGGTCTGTTTCCAAAAGGACTCCAAGGCAGAGGGGGGTAAAGAAATTAAGGTCAAGGGGGAATTTACACTTAAGGCCAGCTGAGTACCCACTAAAACTTGTACAAACTTCAGGTGTCAGGCAGAAGCCAGCTGCTACAGACCCAAGTCATATGACCTGACGGGTAGGGGTGGGCCAGAGGCTGTGGGGGCTTCCTGGGGTAAGAACCTTTTCTGTCTGCTGGTTGTACAATCCTAGGACCCACACACTTGGAAGTGGATGGACCTCCTTATAGTTAAGGACAGGTCCCACCTTAGAGGCATCCATGTCTGGGAGGGTGAGGTGAACCTAGACTTCCTGCACTACCGAGGACACCTCACCAGGTGTCTGGCTCTACTCAATGGCTGAGCGACATTCAGCAGGTGCTCTTGTCATACCTGTCGCCAGAGGCTCCAAGCAGGCAGGCCCCCAACCCCACTCCTGTTTGTGGACAGAAAACCAGAATCAAAACCTCTACTTCTAGCCAAATAATTAACATCACTGAGGGCTCAAGAACCACAGGGTCCTCAGCCCTCTCTTGTCCCTACCAGCACCTTGGTCTCAACTCTCGCCTCTGCCCAATGACTGGCTTTTTTCTCCCCTGAAAATCTGAACATTTACTGAATGTTGGTTTACATCTTACAGTATTTTCCTAGCTTTTCATTGCAAATTACAAGAACCACCACTTCTGCAACAGTCCCGGCATTCATGCTACAGTCCTGGGTTTTCAGCTAGTCTGCTGTGTCCCAAACACGTGGGGACATGGGATTCCCAGTCCCACTTGTGATCACCAACCCGCCCAAGTCAGCAGACCCTCACCCTGCCATTCCGTTTATGCATGGAGGCCCCAGATTCCCCACACTCCTCCTTTAAAGGTCAAAGGCTGACTTAGGAAGAGCCAAGCACTGCATATCTTGCCCCTTCCCACCCCAACTAGGTGGCAGAAATCCCACCCAAGTGAAGATAGTTAACCAATGGTCCCTCCCAGAGCCTCATGAGGGTGCTGACAGGGCAGTCAATGGGTGTGACTGCCGACAGCAAAGACGGCCATCCCCTGGACACTCCTGGGGGCAGAGGCCTGTGCAGCTGCCCTGGAGGAGCATCTGAGCACTCAAGAGGCTGGGCCCTGCCCCTTCGTCTCAAGCCACCAGGGGCACACACACACCTCCAGATTTGGTCTTGTGTTTGAATGCTTATTCCCAGAGAGCGCTCTGATGTGAGAGAACCTGAGTTACAATAATGAAGGGAGCACAAGTGCACTACTACCTGTTTCATTTCTCTTGTTGAGTTTAAGAGCTTTTAAAATATGAATGGTGCTAACTGAACAATAATCTTCAAAAACAGACAAGGTCTCAAGATAAGCTAACAACACGGAGTGTTTGTGGTGCAAGTACCAAAAGCGTGGAGTCAGGCTCCCAGCTCTGCCCTGGGGCAAGGCCAGGGTGGCTCTCACCGCTCAGACCTCAGGGACGAGTCTCTACCAGAGCCCGTCACCACCACGGAGGCCAGGACACACCTGGGAGCTCGCCGGGAAGTGCTCCCAACTGTTTCTAATGTGGGTTCTGGGGCTGAGAAGGGGACATGGGGCAGGTGCACTGGGGGGGCCCTAGGGACTGTGCAGAGAGTGAGTCCCAGACCCAGGCATCAGTGCCTGGCTTAAGTGCTGACAAGAAACACCTGTTTCTGCCCTGATGCGCCCACCCGACGTTCCCCCTGCAACTGGGAAGGAGCAGGTGCAGTGACTGGGCATGCAGCAACTGCCTGCATCCAGCGCTTTTGCTGGAATGGCCTCTGGGGTCCCTTGCACCTAACTAACTTACAGGTGTACAGAGGACACTTGTAGTTATTAAGACTGCAAGGGTGCCAACGTGAAGACAGCTTTCCACATGGCGTCTACACTCCTTCACTTGGAACATGTCTGGGCTCTACCCCGAGAATCACCATCACTTGAGGTAACGCAAGGAAGCCCAGGAACCTAAAGCACTCGGGGTGACCCTGAAGGCCCTGGCCAAAACCCAGCCAGCAAGGACGGCCTTGCCGCCCGCAGCCTGTGGTCACATGACCCAGTCTGCTTTGTGCCTTCCTGCAATGAGATGCTCTCAGATTACCTGCTTCTAACATGCTTCCTCTGCAGCCAACGCAGCCCTCTTGTGATCTCCAGACCACCACCAGGGTGGGAGGCACCCCTGTGGACCAGGGCATACCCGCACGCACACCTACCTGCAGTGCGCGAAGCCACGGGGTTCGGGCTCCCACCTTCCTCACCTAAGCTGCTCTAACACCGCACCAGAACCTTAACCGACTGTGTCCACGTGGTGTCCAACCCCTGGACTGTCCCTTAAGCACAGAGACAGAAACCCAGTGACCCCGCACACCTCGCAAGGGCTGCCGCATCCCCCGCCTCACAGGTGCCCCTGAGGGGTGCCTACAGGTGACACGTGCCAGAGACAAGCCCTCGGGGTTAAAGGGCAACCACTGGGATGCAGTTCTTTGTCTTTCCTAAGGAGATCGTTGTACATCTGGTCATATGTGGTTTTGAAATCATAAACGTTTGGTTTGTCGGGTGCTGGTCCTGGAAGCTTCACGTGAGTTCCTGTTCCAAAGGACCGGACGCTGAATCCTCGTTTGCTGAAAGACACAAAAGGACAGAGAATCACAGTTGGATTAAACAAGACAGAAAATGCTAAAAGGGAATAGGAAATGGATTTGAACAATTATACCATTCTCAGAAAAAATGTTCCTCAGTTTTTTTTTTTTTTGATGTGAACCATTTTTTAAATCTTTTTTGATTTTGCTACATTATCATTTCTGTTTTACCTTTTGGATTCTTGGCCATGAGGCATGTGGGATCGAAGCTCCCCTGACCAGGGACTGAACACACATCCCCTGCATTGGAAGGTGAAGTCTCAGCCACTGGACCACCAGGGAAGTCCCTCCATTTTTAAGTATTTTATACTCAAATTTTAAAAAATCCTGCAGCACATTACACAAGCTAGATGAAACCAATCCAAGCACAAGATAAGAATTAATGAATTCCGGGGAACGAGGCAGGTATCTGTGAAAGGCAAGGGCAGACACACAGTTCAACGAAGATTCACCTAGAAAACCCTGTTTCTGATTGTCGTGTGACTTTTAAAAGGAAATTGTTTGCCCAGGTTCCCAGCTGCCCTGATGCTGGCTTCCCAGGACCTAGACAGAGGCCCCAGAGCCCCCAGGGCAGGAGAAGCACCCCCACAATGGCCTCCTGCCTCAAGGCAACACCTGTGAGGCCTGAAGACAAGGGGACGGCTGAGTGTCTCCTGATAAATGGTCAGGCAGGCAGCACCCACAAGCCGCACATGGCACCCACGTGGCCCCGTGGCTGTCCTCACTCTAGGGGCTCTGCTGCAGACCCCGAGTCCTCTCAAACTCACAGGCTGGGAGTGCTCAAAGTGTCTGCGTCAAATAGCCCACTCACCCTAACCTTGTGTTCACACACTACTGCACGTCCGTGTGGATGCATCCCTGCCCACCGACTTGGTAGCTGACCCCAGGACTGGCAGCACTGATGTCCTCCTCACAGTGCTGTGGGCTCTGCAGCCGCCTCTCAATGTCTCAAGCTTTTTTGTACAAGCTTTTTTGTACATTTTATTGTAACTCAGGGGTCTGGCTGCTTCTGGAGGGATTTTTGGTTGTCACAACGGGAGGCCCACGAAGGAGCCAGTGCATCTGGACACTCGAGGCCCAGCACCCAGAGAAGTGCCAGCCTGCGGTCCTTCCCCCACCACGTGGGCACCCTTGCTGGTCGTTCTCTGCTGAAAGGTGGATGGAGGAAGAAAACCTCACTGGGCTGTGGTGCCCATGGGGTGAGACCCACGGTCCCTTCCCACTAAACACAGCACTTCCAGAAGCCCAGTTGAGTCACTGTTCTCCCAGAGAAGCAGGAAGGACCTGCAGGTCACTCAGGGGTGCCACTGTGCAGATGAGGGGTCCAGGGGCACAGCCACCATGCTTGGCACCACAGAGCATCATGGGCATATGTTTGAAAAGCATCTCATCAGGTCTCTGTCAAACACCTCGCCCGAGCCCTCTGAGGTTGGTAAAAGCCGAGCCCTGTCCTTCCACCCCTAGAAGGCCCAAGCTGTGCCCCCACCCATGCCCTGGATGTTGCCCATGATGGAGAACATGGACGACAGCAGAGATGACTGAGCATACAGGGCCATGGCCACTTGAGATGTAAATAGACCTCAAAGAAGGGTGGCTGGGATGCAAGGGCCCCCAGCAGATGCCCGCAGACCATGGCACCAGTATCTGAACCCATTTCCTCAGCAGGTCAGAAATGTACAACAGAAGAAATGTTTTCTGTCAGAGCACCAACAAGCTGGGGATGAAGGTCTCCCTGACAACAGCCCAGGAGCCACTCCCTCCCAACATGGTGACAGAGATGGGTCACAGTCATGTCCCCACAGGAGCACAGAGCAGGCGCCATGCTGGTCTTGCTGGCTTCACGATGGCCGCTACTCCACAATAACTGCCCAAAACAATCACTGTATCCTCACAGAGCCAACTCTCCCCATCCTGGAAATACCCTGGAGTCAACAGGTCCACCAGGGAGGGATGTGTGCTATGAAAAAACACGTACCCACAGAAACACAGTCCCCAGGGACTTGGGGCTGAGTCCAGCTCCCAAAGAGAGAGCCTAAGGTGTGACACCATCAGGAGGCAAGCCAGGGGGCTGCGTGAGCACAGCTGTTGGACAACCATCTAGGACCACCCTGGGTCTGTCCCAAAGTCGCACAGGTGTGCACAGGATCTGGGGAGAAAGGTCTGTCCTTTGGTGGCAGCCCTGATTCTTTTAAACAAGTCATCTGAGATCAAATAATGATAAATTAATTATGGAAGAGTGCCTGTGAGGTCAGAGTAAGAAACCATGATTAAGCCCATTTCTCTCTGCTAGCTATCTATGAAGTTGGCTCCAAAAGGGGTCCCCAAAAATCATTCTGGGGGACAATGGGAGAAATAAAACATTTCCTAACAAAGGTACGTGAAAGATTCATTTAGACACAGCTCCTCCATCACTCTTTAAAAAAAAAAAAAGTATCTCTATATCTCAGTCATTTCCTTGTGGTCATTCTTTTGAAATATTTATCCGTTATTAAAGAACTTATTTACATGAGCCTAACTCTTAAATCTGGGGCTTCCCTAGTGGCTCAGATGGTAAAGAGTCTGGCAATGCAGGAGACCTGGGTTTGATCCCTGGGTCTGGAAGATCCCCTGAAGGAGGGCATGGCAACCCACTTCAGTGTTCTTGCCTGGAGAATTCCTTGGACAGAGTAGCCTGGCGGGCTCACAGAGCTGCAAAGAGTCAGACACGACTGAGCGACTAACACAACTCTTATATCTAAGTTCAAATTTGTTAAAACGGGTCCAGGTACAACTACTCTTGAAACACATTTATGAAATACAGTGAACAAACCTTAATTTAGCCCGGCAGCAGCGAAAGAGATTATTAAAACCCCAATGGCTGAGGTTTTAAGGAAAACAATGACCATTTCTACTGGTGGTAAGTCTGTCGTAACACCTTGATCCAGGAGTATTTTCTGGAGCTTGCTATGTGCTGGGATTCAGCAGCGATCAGGAGACCCAAACCCCCTCCTCAGATACTCTGGGAGCATGGCATAAAGGGACCCTTCAGGACCCAGGTGGCGGGAAGCACAGGTACAGCAAAGCCGTGGCACAGGGGTGACAGGAGAGTGGAAAACAGGGTGCCCTGGGGGCCCTGGCACACACTGTACCTGTAATGCAGACCCCAAATAGGACCCCAGGATGTCAGGTTGGGGCAGGGCAGGGCAGGGCTGCCACTGAAAAGTTGCCCACAGGGTTTCCAGGAGATGGAGAGGCCCCAGCACAGGGTCTCTTGTGCCCACCTACCCTGTTACTGCTGGGGCAGCAAGTATGAGCTGCCTAGGTGGGTCACCTCCTCTTTTCCTATCACAGGGGAGTCTGGGGTTGGAGTTAGGGCCCAAAGGAAACACTGTCCATATGCTAAAAGTAAACTACCCCAAAGATAATCTAGGCTAATCTTTCAGCCAGCTGACTCCCACCAGGGTGTCTCAGAGGATGCCTGCTGGTGTCTGAAGACTAGATGCCGCTCTCCCCACTAGACTATCCGGCCGGTGGGGGGCGGGGGTGCCAGCTGTGCCCTCTCCTTGCTGCCTCCCCAAGTGCCTGAACAGTTAGTTACCCAAACATACTTAAAAATAAAATGAAACCCCAAAAAACAGGAATTCACTGGCAGAAGAATTTAAACCACACACACAAAAAAATAAACTCAGCTTGTTCTTCCCCCAACAAAATGTTCACAAGTGGCAGAAAGGCTAGTTGGCAACAGAAGTGCTATCTCTTCTAAGCTCACGTAGCTGAAGCTGACAACACAGCTTGTGTGACTGTGCACAGTGACAACGTGTTTCTTACATAAAAGGACTGAGCGCTATAAAAGTATTCCTGACAACCAAAAAGCTTTGACTCAAGGGCCAATTATTTCGTATGTTAAATAAATCTTCCAGACAAGTTTTTATCAAACTTGTTTTTATAAAGGTATCAAAAAACTATCACTATCTGAGACATATACTTTAATTATGTTAAATATTAAGATATAAAAATATTAAGTTAGAAAAAAAGATTATAGTATCATATAAAATGTTGAATTTTGGGAAACAAAATTGTTTCAACTATAATCCTGATATCTAAAGGTAAAATAATAAATTAAAATGAACACTGATCATGAAAACACACAAATTATCAGCATAGGTTATGGGTTATAGTATTTCCCCTATTTTCTGTAGTGTACTTATTAACCTAATTCAAAACATTATTTTGGCTAAGACTGAAATCCTAGACCACTGCCAAACTTCTGAAAGTACGACCTGTCTCTAAGTAGGACACAATGTGCTTACAATCATGTCACCTTTAGTACAGGCAAAATCATCCACGACTTAGTCAGCCTAGTTTCTAGCTACACAATGACCCCATGTTTACTCAACACAAATCAAATGCTCACACACCATCACACTTCAATGTCTGCCTGCAATTTCACTGTGGAACAGCTGCAAGCTTGAGATCAACTTCCTGAAATGTTAACATTCCAGTAAGGTTGATGTCACTACTAGCAAAACACTTCTCAATAAATGTTTTCTAGGATTTATTTTATTCCTACCATCCCACAAGGTCAAGGAGAAACCAAGAGGCTTCTCAGCATGAGGTCACTGTGCACAGAGCTTGTGACAGACATAAATCATTTTCCCCACGAGAGCTCCTGCTTGGATGTCCCTGCTCCAGGCCGGCTCTTCCTCCACCCTGGCTTTTCGAAGGTCAACTTGCTCTTCTGGTCACTGCTGGCCTCCCCAGTGTGGGGGCCAGCACAGAGTAGGTTCTCAAGATCTAAACTTGAGTTGTCCCAGCTCCAACACTGCGCTAAGCACTGTTTATGACAGTGAACCCGCCCAACTATCTTCCCTTCTCTGGGCTTGACCTGTTCTCACCTATATAAGGTTGGTGATGATCCTTAAGGCAGGAAAAATGTTTTAGCTGCTGAAGCTGATACTATGCTTGGTTTACCCAGTTTCGTTTCAATGTTAAGAACCAAACAGAAATCTACCTTCTTCCAACCAATCCTTCTGGTCTTAGTTCTGCCCCCTGAAGACAAAAAGCAAAACACAATGCAACGTCCCTTAAGATCTATGAAGGCAAATGTGTCCCCTGTAGGCACCTTTTCTGCCATCCTTAAAGACACAATTTCAAATCCTTCCACCTCCCCAAACGGTCTCCAGTTCACCTTCACCAAGTGTACCCAGAAAGGAAATATAAAAAATGAAGCCCAAGGGGCCTAGGGCAGAGCTAACCATCCCTCCCTGGTTTAGGACAAGACAAGGGAGAGTTCAGCACCATCATGGGGAGTGTGCTGTGTCGAGTGGCCCAGGGTTCAGATCCTAGGTACCCCTGGGAGAAGAGGTCTGAGCACCTCCATCCCACTGTGGTTGGGGCCACACACTCCACTGAGGACACTGAGAGTTGAGCACCCCACCGCAGATCAGAGCATCACAGGGCCTCAGGTGCCTACTGCATCCCCACACCCCGGATCTTTCTCCAGCCCATCAGATGTTACTTGTCCATCGGACTGGAGCCCCGTGTCCAGATCCTTGCTGTTACTCACCAGCTGGGGCTTCTGGCTCTGGGTCTTACCCCCTCACCTGTGTCGTGTGGACATCTTAAGAGTTGTGAGGATGAAATGACATGTGCATTTGTAAAGTACTTGGCACAGAGGAGCTCAAAGAGATGACTCTAACCTTCTTTCTTCCACATTTGAAGCCTGTCTGCTTATCTTCCCCAAATCACACTACCCAGGAAGTTACGATTGAAAACAGACTGAGAATTCACTTCAGTAGGTTTTACAAATCTTTAAAATTTGCTTTTAATTACTACAATTAAAAATATAGCTTCCAAAAATCAACATGCCCCTTAACATCCAGAGATAGTTTGGAACAAAAAAGTAATTTAATTGGCACCAAAGGGACATCTTAATCTGCAGAGTACAAAGAATAGGAGGCTCTGTAGAAACAAACAGTCTTCCTACACTCCTTTTAAAAACCTAAAGAATTCCCAGGACTAGTATTTCAAACAATTTAGTCTCAAAAGATCAAAAATGATTACCCTAGGGAAATTATGGCTAGCTCTAGAAAATGCCAACCTTTGTTAACACTTGTATTCAACATGTCAGAAAAATACAGCCTGAGCTGATTTTCAACAGGGCGAAAAAACTGGATTTCAGTAGTAAACAATCTAGCATGCATTTGTTTGGTCTGACAGTTAAGACTCCATGTTCCAGATGCGGGGGGCCAGGGTTGATCCCTGGTCAAGGAACTAGATCCCACATGCTGCAACTGAGACCCAGAGTAGCCTAAAAAAACCTGTATTCCCTTTGACAGTTCATTCCAGAAGTTTTCCTAAGCACAGTTTTATGCAGTTGTAACCAAACTGCAAATGCAATTTTCCTGTTTTCACTATCATACTTTTTTGTTGGCCATGCCAAGGCAGTAGCATCTTAGTTCCCTCAGCAGGGATGGAACCTGTACCCACTGCACTGGAAGTGCGGAATCTTAACCACTGCTGCACCAGGGAGTCCCTTATCATGTCATTTTTTTTTCATTTATTTTTATTAGTTGGAGGCTATTTACTTTACAATATTGTAGTGGTTTTTGTCATACATTGACATGAATCAGCCATGTATCATGTCAATACTTTTCACAATCATCTTTAAGACCTATGTCTCATGTCTCTAAATCTACAAGCTCTCCTGCTTGTAACAAGTCATCATATACATTATTTAAAGATGCTATTAAACCTTGTAAATTATCCAAATGGAGATAATACCATAAATTAGTTTCAAAAGTGAAAAATGACATGAAAATTTGTTCAACCTCAATAGCAATTTTAAAACTAAAGAAAAGGCAAGGTTCTTATTTTGCCCCAGCAGCATGAAAAGATGTAAATAACGTCCATATTGTGAGGAAATGGGGAGTTCTGTAAATAGGCACTTTTCTGGAAAGCAGTCTGGCAGAATATATGAAAATGCAAAATATGCCTACCTTTTGACTCAGCAAGTCTACCTCCAGCAATTTATGGAAAGGAAATAACTAGAAAAGTGTACAGAGACATGAATGGCACAAGAATTTGGATATTATAAAACTGAGAAACAACCCCACGTCTGTCACTGGGATGATTACCAAAGTGACTACTGCACAGGATTGCTTGCGTACTCAATCACAGTTTTGAAACCACTGCCATTACCCAATCTGAACAGATATGTTTAAATCCAATATACTAAAATAAAAGCAGAAATGAACATTGAAATTAAACTACGTTCACATCCTGTGGAGAGATTACAGAACAGTATTTTGATCTCTCTTAAGTGTGTGTATGTATATACAAAAAACATCCAGAAAGAAGAATGTACACTGAAACAGTACTTCCAGTGATTCTTATCTTCTCCATCTTATACAGCAAGGACGTTTTGCAACATGTAAACACAATTATTTTAAAAAGGAAGACAGTCCCAGAAATGTAAACAACTTAGGAATTAAGATTCATGTCTAAGATAACTTCACACTGATGACGTAAATAATGTATGTTACTCTAAACTTACCTCCTTTGGCCCCCATTCTTGATTAAATTTGAAAGACAGTAAAATGGGTAAAAGTACACAAGCATTCCTACTTGGTGATTATCTGCAGGGGCTCTTCACCCTCCTTTCCACAGGAGCACCAAGGCTATACCAGCTACTTCAAACTAAGGAAGGGCTTGTATTTTTGCAAGGCCTATTATTTTTGAGGCCTATTAGCTAGGCAAAACTTTAGAAATGATTTAACAAATTTGCCAGAGGAAATTCAAAAACACCTCCTTTCGTAATTCCATCCCAACTTTGTTATGCAGAGAAGAGCTTAAAACAAAGGATCCAGAACCAGCCAGAGCCAGCAGAAGGAGGTGGTCTCCAGGTCACTTGTTATTCTAACTGAAGATATTAAATTTCACTTTTCTTGAATAATTTTCCAGGAATGTGAACTTTGCAGTCTTTCCTTTATATTTACCACTAAACTATACATATTTTAGTGACTCTGAACAGATATACTCAGTTTGGGGATCAGATGAAGCACACTGTAATCCTCGGACTTTCCAAATTTTAAAACTTTAATTAAAAAAATTCTAGTTCAGAAACAAATTCCACATTAATTTGTCAGGTTCCAAGCATACCACACTCGACCAAAAAAACACATTAACTGAATACTGTGGATAGTGTGGTAGACGTTAGGGAAGAATTAAACTCTTAACTAGCAGATCATGGACACCTGGTTATGTCCAGCTTCATAAAGAATGAGGGGTGCAGGAAAACTCTGATTTCACTGGGAGAGTCAAAGCTGACTGCCACGGTAGGGGAAGCGAGGCATGGCTGTCCTTTAATGTCCAAGTAAGCAAACTTCGGGAGAAAAGCAATTTCAACTTTGTTTTACTATCAAAGTTGACATGTACACCTAACTTTTAACTGTAACACAAGGGGTCAATCTCACATTCTGTGAAGTGCTTTTGAACGAAAAAAACTATCAAATGGGAATAAACTTTAATTAAACGTACACAACAGAGTCGCAAAAAGGGAGTTACCACTGAAATATAAACTAAACGCGTGAAACCAAATTCACGTGTGGTTCAGAAATTGTCGACTGGAGATTTTCCAAAGGAGAAAGGAATTCTTTGCATGAGACTTGAAAAATGTAAACAGGAGTAAACACACCAATGCATTAAAACAGGCCACTTTCGTGTTTTTAACGACTTGTTCTATCCTGAGGTTCTGTTGTGCAAGTTTTCCACGTTTGATACCAGGCGACACGCCCTGGACAGAGCCGGCCTGTCCTCTCGTGGACCCTAAGCTTCGGCTTGAAACTTACCACCTCACTGCAGAGCATTTAAAGGAGGTCACTGTTTTCAGATATAAATGTGAGTACTAAGGAGACAAGAACAGCATAAGCCTTTCAGGTTTACTAGCAGCTTTTGAGGTTCCCGTGACCCGGAAACATTTCGGCTCACATTCTGAATTTTTCGTGACGCTAGATACATATGGGGGAAACCAGACAGACCGCGCTTTCTGGAGTCCTCGCAGCACACGGGCCCGGAGCCAGTGAGCCCGGACGCGGCGCGGCCTCTACGGCCGTCCTTCGGGAGCCGCCACGTACCGCCCGCCTGAGAACCCGGGATGCCCAGCACCGGTCGGGGAGAACCGGGGCTGGTAACCGTCGTCACCCAGAACTGGTCGGGAAGCCGGGATTGCCCGGCACAGGTCAGTCCGAGCCAAGGATCCGGGGCCGCCGCCCAGCATGGACCGGGAAGGGCCGGGGCCAGCAACTGCGGCCGCCACCACCCAACACGGTCCAGGAACCTGGACCGCCCAGCGCGGGCCGGCTAGGTCCGAGACTAGGAACCAGGACTGCCCATCACGGGCCGGAGCCGGAAGGACGGCCTGTCGGCCGGCGTCCGTGGGGCGCGCTGGACCAAGGCGGAGGCCCCAACTACCTGAGGATGTTGTGCGCCTCCATGCTCCGGTTCTGGTTGCTCGAGCACACCACCGCCACCCGCAGTGGCGACGACGGCATGGCGGCAGCCGCACAGTCTGCGACTCCAGCTTCAGAACTCCCACCCAGCCGCGCCGCTTCCGCGCGAGCAAGATGGCGGCCTCCACGCCCGGAAGTCATGACGTGAAAGCGGGGGCGCCGGGACGTAGCGCGTCTGGACGCGCGGCGGGGGCGTATGTGCGGCGTCCCTGCGGCCTCCCCAGACCGCCCCAGACCGCTGGGCCGCGGACCGAGGGAGGCCCCACCCCCTGGGTGCCTGGCTGGCCGGCGAGCGCACAACCGCTTCTAGCTTGAGGGCCAGGGCCCGCACTCGGCAAGGGAGCCGCCTGGCGCCTCGAACTGACGTCCTGACGTCGCAAGCCGCCGTCGCCGGGACTGACGCGCGAGGCGTCGCGCCGGGAAAAGTGACGTCACGCGCGCCCTCGCCGTCGCCGGGAGTGGCGTACGAGGCGTCGCGGCAGCTGGGACGTACGTTGAAGGTTGCTGGTCTCCGCCGGCTTCTCTCCCTAGCGTGAAGTCAGCCCCGGTTGTTTTCACACCTATCGCCCGAGCCGCCGTGCCTCCAGCGCTCTAGGCCGAGCCCTGTGGCCCTTGGATGACTGCCCCAGCCTCTTACTAGCCTCTCGCAAACACCAGCGCGTGGGTGTCCTCTGAAAACCCTGCAAAGTTTGACATTTAAGTGAAGTTGTGAAAGTATTTGCAGAAACAGTTAGAAATGAGAGTAGGAGGTGTGAGGAGACCTCCTGGGTTGGGAGAGCAAATTGACTTAAATCCTTGGGTTTGTTTGGAGGCACTGGCACGGTCGTTAAGAATCTGCCTGCAGATGAAGGAGAAGCGGGTTCGATCCCTGGGTGGGGAATGTCCCCTGGAGTAGGAAGTGGCAACCCACTCCAGTAGTCTTGCCTGGAAAATGCGACGGACAGAGGAACCTGGAGGGCTACAGTTCATGAGATCGCCAAGAGTCGGAGGTGACTGAGCACGCACGCAGTGCGGACCAGAGGTTTGGGGTCATGATATGTCGGTGAAACTAGTCAACTCGGTTTTGTTGTCCTCCAGTCGCTTGGAGTGGCCACTGAGTTGATGTTTTGCAATGGAGGCGCAACAAAGGGAGGGGGCAAGGGAATGGCGATGCTCCACTATGGATCCAGAAGTGATAAGAAAGGAGGACGTGAAGGGGTGGCAGCAGTGAAAAGGTACTGTGTGTTCTGAATTGGGGATCCCTATGGAAAAAATGTCACTGGAGCCAAACAGAGGTAGAACAGGATGCTTGAAACAGCGTGTGGGGAGGGGGCCGCATTTTATATCTCTGTAGACTAAGTGTGACCATGGGCACCAGTAGAAGATAGTCTTCCTGTTGGAGAAACTCAGAAACCAGGGCAGTGAGTGACCACCCTCACTGATGTTCCAGTGTCCTATTACTACTGATGTTTTCACGGAAGAAAAGGCTGAGAACCAGACCCTTAGAGTATTTAAGGACCCTGGAGCATAGCATGGGGGGAGGGACAGTGCATGACTGCAACAAGGAATCATTTACTTGGAAAGACCGGGTTGAGGGGGTGGTGTGAGGGATGAGTGAGGAGGAATGAGAGCCCCTCTGCTCTCTATGTATTTAAATATACGTATAGCATAAGTCTAGGAGGACATAACACTGAGGCAGTGAGAACGGGGGCAGTAGGGTTATGGGTGCTTTAAATAAAGCACCGTTGACTTTGTGTTTTATGTTGAATATGTATTTCTCTTACACCCACCACAAATAATAGTGATGTTTACGTTTTGAAAACAACACCTCCCTGCACTAATGTGCTTTCCCAATATGCTCCTGAATTCAAAGACATTATGGTCTGACCATCCCAGTGCAATACTGAGCTCTCCTACCTCACATTTTCCAGCTTCCTGTTTAGAACTTAAGGGACTGCCAGCTGAAACTGCTTGTCCATTACCTTTTTTACCTCTGCATAAGCCAACCTCATACCTTAGGTCTTAGTCCAGGCCCTGAGAGTTGCAGACAGATGTCAGGGGCTTCAAGAAAGCTCACCCTTGTCGTTGTCTTCTCCCCCTGGCCTTTCTGTGCTTCCAGTAGCACCCTTAACTTGCTCTTATGACTCTGAACAGTTTTTAGCACTCTGCTTCTCTTTCCCACTGCTTTCACAGACTCTGAGCTCAAAAGGGCTCGGGCCCCCTGTTCTGGCTGTGTTGCGTATGTCCAGTGTATTTAGAAATATCGTTCCTCTGGAGACACTCACCAAGTGCTCATCTAGCAGATACCTGAGGGAGAAGGTGCCCAGGTGGGTGAAAGAACGCTCTGTGCTTAGGCTACCAGCATCTCTTTGAGGTTTAATTTTATACTTTGTTCATGGCATGGGAACCCCAAGCTGAAATAAAAAATATACTTAGTCTTGGACCATTGGAATCTCCAGGGCCCCAGTATAAACAGGACCCAATGTTCCCTTAGGACACATCCATCACCAGGGTCACATGGGACAAAGAACACTCCATGAGCAAGTATTACCAATAAAAGATTGAAAGCAAGGTGAGCTCCTACAAGGTAACTTGCATATTCATCAAGCAGGATAATTAATTCCTCAAGAGCTGGAGATGGATAAATAAGACAATTTAACGACATATAACTAGACATTTAAAGGGTAGTGTTTGATGAGTTCTCACATGCATACATCCATGTGACAATAGTAACAACGGCAGTCCCATGTTAAGATTCTGCTTCCACAGCAGGGGACATAGGTTCTGTCTCTGGTGGGGGAAGGTCCTGTATGTCAAAAAATAAATACAATGGTAACATGTATCACCCTCAGCAGTTTCCTATACCCCTTTGTAATTCCTCCTTGGGCTCCCCTTCACCTGCCCGCCACCCCCCCATCTCATCAGGTGACCACTGAGCTGTTTCCTGTTGTATAGTTTAGTTTGTATTTTCTAGAATTTTACATAAATGGAATCATAGAGTATGTACTCTTTTTTGGGGGGGGGGCAGTCCCTCAGCACATTCATTTTGAGATTCACCAATAATGTTGCACATATAAATAGTTGGTTCATTTCTGTTGCTGAGAAGTATTCCAGTGTATGGGTGTTCCCCATTTCATTTATCCATTCACCTGTTGATGGACATTCGGGTTGTTTCTAGCTTCTAGCTACTACAGTGAAGGCTGCTGTAAACCTCCATGAATGAAACTTCATATGGACATGTTTTTTCATATCTCTTCAGTTAATGCTTGAGCACAGGATGATTAGATCACATGTTCAAATGTACATTTAACTTCTTAAGGAACTGCTGCCAAATTGTTTGCAAAGCGGATGTACTATTTTACATTCCCACAAGCAGTGTTCCAGTTTCTCCACATCCTTGCCAGCATTTGATGTGATTAATCTTTTCAGTTTTAAATGTTCTTAATAGCTGATGTCTCATGGTATCTCAATGTGTTTTTAATGTATATTTACCTAGTTACTAATGAAATGAAGCATAGTTTCAGGTGCTTATTTGCTGTTGCTGTGTCATCTTTGATGAGGTGTCCAGATCATTTGTGCATTTATCATTGTGTTGTAATTAAGTTGTGCTGTGTGCTCAGTCGCTTCAGTCATGTCCAACTCTTTGCAGCCCTGTGGACTGTAGCCCGCCAGGCTCCTCTGTCCACAGGATTCTCCAGGCAAGAATACTGGAGTGGGTTGCCATGCCCTTCTCCAGGGGGTCTTCCCAACCCAGGGATTGAACCAGGGTTTCTTGTGTCTCCTGCATTGCAGGCAGATTCTTCACACTAACCTACTTGGGGAGCTCCAATTAAGTTATGTGTGTATATATGTATTTTCCAGATATGTGATTTATTTTTCTCCTTGAGGTTTGTCTTGTTCTCTGATCAGTGTCTTTCGAAGTCAAAAGTTAAGTTTGATAAAGTATAATTTATCAATTGTTCTTTTATAGATTGCACTAAAATATTTGCTGTGAAAAATATACTGATGGGATTAATGGTAGATTAGAGATTGAAAAAGAGAAGGGCATTAAATAGAAGATATACAGATAGAAAGTATAAATGAAACAGAAAAAATGAACAGAATATCAGTGAGCTATGGGGTAGCCTCCAGCAGCTGATATACATGGAATCAGTGTCCCCAGTGGGTGGGTTGGCACTCTGGCTGGTTGTTAGAGACACTGCTCCTGGCCCTGCTTGAACTCAGGAATTTTGCCTCTAATTCCATTTGTTGCTTCCTTTCTTGGCCTGGTGATTCCCTCACACACACCAGTCCGTCCTAAGCTACAGATCTTTATGTCCTCTTCTTCCAATTTCTGCCCCTCAGTCTCCAGCCATCTTGGCCTCCCAGAGCCATCCACTCAATTCAGGACAGTACTGGACTCTGCCTGAGTCCCTTCTCTGTGCTCTGCATCCTGAAAGTCATCCAGACAGTAAGCTGGAACAGTCACAGAACTCAGTTCATCTCTTTCCTTTCTCATTAGGGGTCATGGCCCTTCATTGCATGATAGCCAATGTATTTAGAACTGTTATTTCACATATTTTATATGGTTTTTTAGTTGCTTCAGGTGAAAGAGTAATTCTGATCCCTGTTACTTCATTTTGGCTGTAATCATAAGTCTCACTGAATCCATTTTAAAGAGAGGGAAATGTGGAAACTCACCCTACAGATGTTAATATTATAATTATAAGACTAATCAAGAGTACAACAATAGGAAAAGACAATCAGATCAATGCCCGTAAAGAGACCCATGCACATGTGGGGATGTGATATGTAATGTCGGGCTATCCACATACTGGAAAAGGTTGGATTGTTGCTGCAGATCAGATTGGGGTACTGATATAAAATGTTGGATTCCTACCTCACACCATATAGAAAGATGCCCTCTAGGCAACTAAAGACATAAACATAAAAAGTAAAGTCGTAAAGCCAGTTGAAAGAAATATTTTATGGGGACCACTTACATATTCTTTGGGTATGCAAGAATTGCTTAAGACCAAAAAAATACATACAACTTACAGGGAAAAAAGGATAGGTCTGATATC